CACTTGATATCAAGCCAAATCTTAGGATTGGATGTTAATTAAATCCCACGTGATATAGTGAAACATATCATTTTATTGATGGTCCATTTACAGATTGCAGCATTATATACATCTGCATCCTACCCACCCACTCTAGTGGGTCAGATGTTTTTTGTTCTATTTTTTTGAGTTGATATTTCTAATCAGGTTGCTCAGAGGTGTTATCACACATCTTTAGGTGGGATATTACTCCAGGAGGTAGCACACTATTATTGAATAGAATTCCTACACTGTGGAAGCAGGCCATTTGGCCCATCAAGTCTACACTGACCCTCTGAACAGCATCTCACCCAAACCCACCCCATCCCTGTAACCTTGCATTTCCCACGGCTAACCTATCTAGCCTACACAGTATGGGCAACTGAGCACGGCCAATCCACCTTAACCTGCACATCTTTGGACTGTAGAGGAAACCCACGCAGATATGGGGAGAAAGTGCAAACTCCACACAGACGGTCACCCAAGGCCAGAACTGAACCGAGGTCCCTGACGCTGTGAGGCAGCAATGCTAACCACTGGAGCCACCATGCCACCCGTATGGTCTTGTGCCACAAGAACCATCCACTTTTTAAGTATTCCACATGCACAACAATTAACAATTTATCAATTAACTATCCCTTAAAGGGGCACTGTAATAAGAAGAAACTACAACAGAACTGTATCAAATTAATCCGAAAATGTAATCGCTGTGCCAGATGATGCCCTCCAGTCCTAGAGTGCCCAATAGGGAACAGAAAAGCTCAGGCAGGAACTTTTGACTACAGATGTAACCACAGAGAGAGAGAGAGGGGGGCAGTGGAATTGTTAGTAACCACTGTGACCATGCCTAGGGACAGGCCAATAAAGAGATGCAACAAAGAAGCTGCTTCACGCCACAGTTAGTGGCCAAATGGAGAGAGTAAGCCTGAAGTACAACTTAATATTTGGAGCAGCCTCTTCAAATAACAGAAATAGAGGCAGCAAACTAATACACACTGTGTGCATATGGAATGTAAACTTATAAAGTCCACAAAAGATACAGATGCCCTAGGTAACCACAAACCTCTTTAAACTTCTGTCGTCCTGCTGCTTTCTGTACCCGCAATGCCAAATCTCTGATAGTAAATGGGAGGACTCCAAATGAGCCTCTTCACCCTTCAGGATGGCACAGGGTGATGGCACGTGGTGATGCCACACTAAGTCAGGGCAGTTGAAAAGAGTGACAAAGTACTGTGTGTGCAGCAGCAGCGTGGACAGGGGAACCCCCACGCAGCATGGAGTGGTACAGAAGGAATGGCTCAAAGCATGACACTGGCTTTCAGAGGGAGGCTTTGAGACACAGGACCCAACATGAAGTTTTATCCAAACAGGGGTCAATTCAGACAAAATGCTTGAGAGCACCTCAGCAACATGAGTACCATCAGGGACGGACACCACAGTTGTAAGGCTCTGGATAGCACTGTCCACAAGCTAGGCATCCATTGGGTTCTATTGGCACACGGGTTCTATAGGTGACATGTAGTGTATTCCTCTGCCAACCAGCATGTCCCCAACTCTGCTCACCCTAACAACCCGAACCCGCTCTTCCTCCAGCCATGTGAATCTGGATTGGTGAGGTTACACATTCCTGACCAGTGGCCACATGGCAACAGCCAATATTTCCTGAAAGTCTTTCTTTATACTCTTTCCCCTACACTTGGGGAGGTGATGGCCTAGTGGTACTATCACTTCACTGTTAATCCAGAGACTCAGGTAATGTCCTGGCGACCTGGTACAAATCCCATCCTGTCAGATGTCGGAATTTGAATTCAGTAAAAATTAAGAGTCTAATAGTGACCGTGTTGTTGATTGTTGGGGAAAAACTCGTCTGGTTCCTAATGTCCTTTAGGGATGGACACCTTCCATCCTTACCTGGTCTGGCCTACATGTGACTCTAGACTCACAACAATATGATTGAATCTTAACTGCCCTCTGGGCAATGAATGCTGGCCTAGTCAGTGATGCCCTCATCCTGTGAATGAATTTAAAAGCTACTTAACTCAAAGAAGCAGTCCTTAAACAGACACTGGAACAAAAAGAAAAGCAAAAAATGCTAAACAAACTTAAATCAAGTATTATTTTGGGTGGGGGTGTACAGTGATGATTTTCTGCAGCCTCTGTGGTGCCCACTGGTCACAGGAGGTCTGAACTGCACCAATCAATACTGTTAGCCCCATCTGTAAGGTCACACAGGTGCAGATGTTTGTTAAGTCTTTCTTTACATGTGCTCCAATTACTTAATCAATATCCTTCAGCCCAGCATCCTTAACCAAGATAATACAACTAATGTTGAGAAGTTTTGTCACGAAGACAGTATATGTCTATCACTAACAGCCCTATTTCGAAAATTGGCAGGGGTTTTCCTGGTGTCTTAAACTCATACCTCAACCAACAGCAGCAAAGCAAGTGGATTGAGTTAAGTAACCCAGGTCCATGTTGTTTTCCTGTACAAACAATCAGCTCCCCATTTTCCTGGTCTACTCCCCATAGCTCCGTGAGTTTTCTCCTAATGTGCAGTATCCATGTGATGACTTAGAGTCAATAGTCATACAGCATGGAAAGAGATCCTCCGGTCCAACCAGTCCATGCCAAATATGATCCCAACCTAAACTAGTCTCAGCTGCCTCCTCCTGGCCCATATCCCTCTAAACCTTTCCTATGCATATGCTTATCCAAATGTCTTTTAGACGTTGTAACTATACCCACATCCACCACTTCCTCAGGAATTTCACTCCACATGTGACACACCCTCTGTGTAAAGAATTTGCCCCCCATGTCTTTTTTAAACCTCCCTCCCCTTGGCCTGGTTTCAACCATCTAGCATAGCCAAGCTCTGAAAGCTTGCAATTTCAAATAAACCTGTTGGGCTATAACCTGGTGTCATGTGACTTCTGACCTTGTTTAGATAAGCCAAGGCAGTGTAGCCAAATTTGAGAGGGGCTTCCTTCCATCTATTTCAATGTGAACTCTTAAGCAAATGATTCAGCAAAAATAATTAGCATCTAGTAATTTGATGTCACACCAAGCACAAGTTTATGAAAAGTTAAAATACGGTGGACAGGAGTAAATTGATGGCTATGGGAAGAGTATGGGGCAAGTTGCCTGAATGCAGTAAGAAAAACTTACAAAAATATTCCACACAAACTTGGTAACCTAGTCAGTTGGAAGCCCACAAACCCAATGCACTGATTAATCTCTGAGTTGTCGGATGTGAAGGATTAAACAAACTATCCAAGATCACGGATGCAGCTGAGTTGCAAAGACATTCCAAATGCTGCAAAGCTATTTAGAATTGAAAGAAATGTTGCTCTTGCAAGCAGAGCGGAAGACCATTCTGTCCTGTATTAATACAGTACTTCAAAATAAGCAAACATACAGGGCACAGGCCACGGTCATACTCTCTGAAAAAGCTTGTCATCAGAAGCCAAGCAAACTTAGGCCTAGTTAGTGCTGGAATGGGAGAAACGAGAGTCTTGTCCTGGGCGGGGGGTGGGGGGGGTAGAATGTACCCCAGAATGTGATGGCCAAAGATACAGTTAGAGGGAAGCATCCAATGTTCATAGTCCATGCAGGTACCAACGACATAGGAAGAACCAGGAAAGAGGCTCTACATGGGGAGTGTGTGGAGCTAGACACAAAATTGAAAAGCAAAACCTCAAAGGTTACAATCTCTGGATTACTGCCTGAGCCTCTAACATATTGGCAAACACTACATAACATTAGACAGGTAAATAAGTGACTGAAAAACTGGTGTGGGTGAAACGGGTTCTAGTTCATAGGTAACTTACACCAGTACTGGGGATAATGGGGGGCTCTACCACTGGAACAGTCTACACCTGAAGCATGCTTCGGCCAGTGTTCTTACAAACTGCATAACTCGGGAAGCTGACAGAACTCAAAACAAAATAGTGGGGACAAGTCATTAAAATGTGGGAAAATGTGGTATATCAAAGAGGAGACAGGCAGAGTGTTCTACGTCATTTGTACCTACGTAGACTATGAATATTGAATGTTCCCCTCCCACTGTATCTGTGGTCATCACATTCTGAGGTACATTCTACCCCCCCATAGCACAAGACCCTTGTTTGTCCCAACCCAGTACTGACCAGGAATGAATTTGCTTGGCTTCTGATGTCAGGCGTTTTCAGAGAGTAACGTCGTGGCCAGTGTCCCGTACATTTGCTTATTTCAAAGTACTGTGTTAATATGCGCCAAACTAGCCTTCCACTCTGCTTTGTTCTTTGTTCTGTATGAGAAGTAAGTAGTAATGTGGGAAATTAAGGTCAGGGAATGACAGGAAGGTACAATAAGAAAAACAAACTTAAGACTACACCAATAACCAAATGACAAAACCATAGGGTCTGTTTCTAAATGTGTGTAGCGTTCATAAAGAAATTGATAGCACACAACAAATTAAATAAATATGATCTGATAGCCATCACAGAGAGGTGGTTGTAGGAGGACAAGGTTTGGGTCCTGAATATTGAGGAGTTTATGGAATTTTAAGAAAAATAGTAATCTTTGTAAAGGTGGAGGGGAGCTCTATTAATCCCTGTGTGTACCCCTAAACAGTTGCTGACTTATTTTCCTTCAAACTGAGATGAAAAGGGTTTCTGAAATGCTAATTTCAACTCCAACGCTTTGCCACAATGGGTTGTAGGCCTCTGCCTTGCTGTAAATTCAATGGAAGGATCAGTCATTGAAGACTTTGCAAGGCTGGGATCACCTTCCTTCCTATCCAGCAACTGCTACGGCTTCTGCGGCCAAATAGCCAACTATCACTCACCTTATACATGAAGGACGTTTGCTTAAACAAGGAAACGGATAGCTCCTTTCTACTTTCGGTGTAGGGGCTTGCAAAAGGTACTTCAAAAACACTTGAAAATATCAAAGCAAGTTCCTATCAATAAGTCAAGGCATAATCAGTCTCAGTTTTGTTTTACCTGTGCAAGACCCCCTGCGTGAAGCAGTGCCAAGTCAGGAAGCCAGGAACATCCAGGAACAAAGAGACCATAAAGGGTGATGATGCAGAATGGGACAGAGTAAAACATGTACACCAACATCTAGGAGAAAGACAAAAGAGTAAAATTCAACCTACAATCCCAGGATCTTCTAAATGGACAGTTCTCAATGACAAACATAATGTGGAGGAACCAGTGTTGGATGGGGGTGGACAAAGTCACACGATACCAGGTTATAGGTTTATTTGAAATCGCAAGCTTTTGGAGCACTGGTCCTTCATCAGGTGGCTTCTGAAAGCTTGTGATTTCAAATAAACCTGTTGGACTATAACCTGGTGTCATGTGAATTCTGGCGATGACAAACAGCCGTGTTTGCATGCACATGGAATTCACTCTACATTGCATGTAATCCAGCTTTTGAATTATCACAGAATATAAGATACCTGTCTCAAAATACTGACTAGGAGGCCAGAAGAAGGTGTGTTTGGCCCCAGTGCACAAGTTCTGCTCTTCCTCTAAAAGTAGGATCTGGGTGCTTCTGCCTGGGCCAGTATTTATTGTCCATCTCTAATTGCACTGAAGAAAGTGAAGTCACTGCCTGAACCACTACAATCCTTGGATGGTAGGTACACCCACAGCTAGGAAGGGAATTCCAGAGCCTTCACACAGTGACACTGAGGAGAATGATGATATATTTCCAAGTCAGGATGGTGTGTGGCTTGGAGGGGAATTTGTAGGTGGTAGTGTATCTGCTGTCCTTGTCTTTCATGATGGTACAGGTCGCCGCTTCAGAAGAAGCTGACAAAGGGCTTCCCCATTTTTCCAGAAATTTTCCATCTCTAATATCTAAATCCAGCACTTCCTATTCTGCAACAATCAACTCCACTAGCTCCCCATTCCTAATGCTTACTTCGACACTAGCCTATCAGCTTATGGTAAACTCTGTTCTTGAGCAGAAGGGGTACTTTCAAGTTAAGGATGGCAAGATTCAGGAGCCTTGGGTGACAAGAGATATTGAAAGTTTAGTCAAAAAGAAAAAGGAAGCATATGTAAGGTTTGGGAAACTAAAATCAAGAACAGCTGCTGAAAGTATAAAGAAAGCAAAAAAAGAACTTCAACAAGGAATTAGGAGGCTAGAAAGGCCTATGAAATGTTCTTAGCAACTAGTATTGAGGAGAATTCCAAAACATGTTATACACATATTAAGAGCAAGAGGATAACTAGGGAAAGGGTATGTCCACTCAAAGACAAAGGAGGGAATTTAGGCCTGGAGCCAGAGGACGGCACAGTGGTTAGTACTGCTGCCTCACAGTGTTATTGACCGGGTTCAATTCCAGCCTCAGATAACTGTGTGGAGTTTGTACGTTCTCCCCGTGTCTGTGTGGGTTTCCTCTAGATGCTCCGGTTTCCTCCCACAGTCCAAAGATGTGCAAGTTAGGTGGATTGTCCGTGCTAGATTGCCCATAGTCTTTGGGGATATGCAGGTTAGTTGGCTTAGCCATGGAATAGGTTACAGGGGTGGGGGACTGGGACTGGGTGTGATGCTCTTTGGAGGGTCGGTGCAGATGTGATGGGCCGAATGGGTTCTTTCTGTCCTGTAGGGATTCTAAGTGGATGATGTCCTTAATGACCACCAAGGAGAAGGACACGGATGACAGTAATATTGGGGAGGGATATGTTGAAATTCTGAGGCATGTCGATATTAAGGAGGAGGTGATGGCTGTCTTGATAGACATTAAGGTAGATAAGTCCCTAGGGCTTGATGGGATCTACCCTAGGTCACTAAGGGAGGAGATTGCTAGGGCATTGACAGAGACCTTTGTATCCTCTTTAGTCACAGGCAAGATCCCAGAAGACTGGAGAATAGCCGGTGTGGTTCCTTTGTCCAAGAAGGGCAATAAGGATAATCCAGGAAATTATAGGCTAGTGAGCCTTCTATCAGTGGTAGGAAAATTATTGGAGAAGATTCTTACAGTCAGGATTTACTTGCATTTGGAAAAAAAATTGACTAATTGGGGATAGTCAGCATGGCTTTATGCAGGGAAGGTCTTGTCTCACAAACGTGACTGAGTTTTTTGAGGAAGTGACGAATATGATTGATGAGGGCAAGGCAGTGGATGTTGTCTAAATGGACTTAATTAAAGCATCGGACAAGGTCCCTCATGATAGGCTGGTCCAGAAGATTAAGTCACATTGCATCCATGGTGAGTTAGCACGTTGGATACAAAATTGGCTTGGTCATAGAAGACAGAGGGTAGCTGCGGTGCAGTGCTTTTCTGACTGGAGATCTGTGACCAGTGGGTCCCACAAGCATCAGTGCTGGGACCTCTGATGTTTGTGAGTGATTTGGATGAAAATGTCAGTGATTAGTTTGCAGATGACATGAAAATTGGTGGAGTTGTGGATAGTGAGAAAGGTTCTCAAAGGATACAGCAGGATATAGATCAGTTGGAAGTTCAGTGGAGAAATGACAGATGGAGTTTAATTTGGTCAAGTGTGAAGTGATGCATTTTGGGAGGTCAAATGCAAGAGGAAAGTATACAATAAATTGCAGGACCCTTTGGAACATTAATATACAGAGGGATCCTGGGGTGCAAGTCCATAGCTCCCTTAAGATGATGAAGAAGGCATATAGCATGCTTGCCTTCATCGATATAAAAATTGGCAAGTCATATTGTGCCTGCATAAGACTTGGATTAGGCCACACTTGAATTACTGCATGCAGTTCTGATCAGAGGGAGAGGGTGCAAAAAGAAGTTTATCAGGATGCTGCCTGGATTGGAGAGTATTAGCTATAAAGGAGAGGTTAGACAAACTTGGATTTTTTTTCACTACTGCATTGGAGGGTGAGGGAACACCTGATATAATCATATAAAATTATGAGAGGCATGGATAGGGTAGATAGTCAGAGTCTTTTTCCCAGGGTGGAAGTGTCAAATACTCAGAGGCATAGGTTGAAGGTGAGAGGGGGAAACTTTAAAGAAGATGTGCGAGACAAGTTTTTTTACACAGGTTAGCGGATCCTGCCAGAGGAGGTTGTAGAAGCAGATACATTAGCAAAGTTTAAGAGACATTTAGGCAGATACATGAACATGCAGGGAATTGAGAGACATGAACCATGCACGGGCAGATCGGATTCACTTAGAATGACATCGTGGTCGACACAGATATGGCGGGCCAAACAGCCTGTTCCTGTGCTGTAGTGTTCTATGAATCTATGTATCTAAGAAATGCCTGAGTTTAGAATTCACAAATTGAAAGCATGTATAAGAACTCATTACTTGATTCCAGACTAAGATCTTGGATCAAGCTGACAGGCAGTACACATGTTCCAGGAATGCACAATCCTGCTATGAACAATTATCTCTTTGGTGGTTAAATCAGATCTCTACTATATTCGGGAGCAAGCTAGAGACACATTGCTTCCACTGCCTGCCAGATTGGGACAGATGTACTGTTCGGAATCGGGCAGATCGCAAAACAATTTGTCTCCAGTTTTGCCACTGAAACAGGCACAGCCCATCTTCGTGTAAATGTGGTAAGAATGACTCAGCTCTGAGGTAAGTGTCTCACCCATCACAGCTAACCCCCCATCCCAGACATATTCCAGCTCAGTTCAGACATAATCCCTGATCTTAAAGGAAGACGGTTTGTTTGAAAATGTCAGCAGTGTTTAAGTGGTATTGCTGTCATATCATAAATTGAAATCATTTGCCAAAAAAGCACTCTGCTGATTTCAGTTACCTGGGTCTTTGATTACAAAAGCTCGCTTACAGAAGACTGGAAAGCTGTGTTTAGGGAACAAAGCACCATTATTGTTTGTAAGATCTATCACTTGGTCGCTAGCAAAATAAAGATTTTTTTTCATTACCGGGCCTTTTAAAGCAGCACATCAGCATAGTCCAAATTCCCTCCACCGGAAAGCTGGTATAAAGGGTTTGTGAGATAACGCACGTAGCTGGGATTACAAGAATTAGGTCAAGGGAAGTCAATATTGGAAATTTTTTAATGTACTGTGACCATGATTGTATATGGAGGTAGTGCCCCAATTAGTTGTCATGGTTTCTACCTCTCTGAGGCAGAAAGTCTGGATTCTAACAGACTAATTGTCTATTCCTAGACAATCAAATAACTGATAGATCGTTAGTCCCAGTTATACCACCCAGAACACTGAACCACTGCTAGAACTGCAGCAGACCTTGGAATAGAAATATTGCTGAAAACCCAGAGTTAACCTTTAGATGAAGGAGGAGGGAGACAGAAAAGCAAGAAACTATAGGCCACAGAGAGTAAGAACTGCCGATGCTGGAGTCAGAGATAACACAGTGTGGAGCTGGAGGAGCACAGCAGGCCAGGGAGCATCAGAGGAGCAGGAAAGCTGACATTTTGGGTTGGGACCCTTCTTCAGAAAACAAATCTATAGGCCAGTTAGCCTAACATCAATCATAGTAAAATTGATAGAATTCATTGTTTAGGAAATTACAACAGGAAGCTAAGAAAATCACAATGGGATTAAGAAAATTCATCATGGTTTGGGTAAAGGTCATTTTTAATTAATTTTGTCAGTGTCCATTGAGGAAGTAACAAACAAGATGGATAAAGGAGATAACAAGGTGTAGAGCTGGATGAACACAGCAGGCCAAGCAGCATCATAGGAGCAGGAAGGCTGATGTTTCAGGCCTAGAAGTTCCTACTATCTCTGGATAAAGGAGAACCTGTATTTGCATTTCCAAAAGGATGATGATGGAGGGTAAACAATTAGCATGGATAAAGAATTTGTTAGCTGACAAGAAATAGAGTAGGGTTTTTCTTTTGGATATGCAAACTGTAACTACTAACGAGGGATCAGGGCTGGGGCATCAATTATTTACAATCTATATCAAAAATGTGAATGGAGGGTCTAGCAGCTAACTATATTAACGGCACCAAGGTGGGTAGGACAACGAATTGTCAAAGGGGATGTACAGGGACTACACAGTGATATAGACTGGTCAAATGAGTGGGCAAAACAGAGGCAGACAGAGTATAATATGGAAAAATGTGAACATAGCCACTTGGGTAGGAAGAATAAAAAAAACAGTGTAATATTGAAATGGAAAAGA